GAATAACAAAGAATTAACGAAGTCAAAACATGATAAATATGTAAAAACCAAATTGTTAATTCATAATAAAAGTTTTCGACATCAAATAAACCAGTATTTGGAGGAAAATAAATTTAAATTATCTATTCCAAATTTTATAAGTTATGTTAGTCATATTATGCCTGCTTTTGGAGTCATAAGTAAAACCATTAGCAGATCAACTATATGTAGATGGCTAAAATTGCTTGGATAGAGATACCAAACCTATACAAAAAAGATTTATTTTGATAGCCACGAATATGAAGATGTGGTAGAGTACAGAAATGATTTTTTGCAGGAAATAGCTAGGTTACAAAAACGAATAGCCAGATATGAAGGTGAAAAATTAAACAGTATCTCACCAAATCTTCTTTCTGGTGAGGCTAAAATTGTTTCTATCACTCAAGATAAAATCACTCTTTATGCAAATAATAGTGTGAAACAATATTGGAGCCTAAAAGGTGAATATGGCCTACAGAGAAAATTATTAATAAGAATCAGAATTAACTAACATTTTTAGTCAGCTAATCAGCTGACTAAAATTTTTAATTATTAATTAAAATATTACGTATCAATCAGCTATAATTCCTGATCACTATACCAATATCACTGGGATTAATGAATAATATCTTAAACTATACATGAATAAGCAAAATCTTCGTTTCTGCTAATCTCAATAGACCAGATTATCGTGCAAACTCTTATAATTATAGGTTTTTTTCTTCTTGTAATTTTTTGTACGTTATTTCATAAGCACAACAATCCCGAATTAAAACTCAGTTAGCTAACTACGACTCGTAAATCATGATCTTAATTGCATGATAATATATTAGATCATACGATCATAAATATTACAAAATTTGTTCTGTCAGAGCAAATGATTGGATAAAATATGTTGCTACACGGCACATGTCAGCCAATCATTTGCTCTGACAAAACAAATTTCATGATATTAATCATTGCATAGCCAATATCTTATACATATTATTATTTCTAATATTTTAGTAAGTTGGCTAAAAACATTTTTTGACTAATTTTTGATTTCTATCTTTGATCACAGGGCTCCAGTATTCATATTAGTGATTTTGTCTGTGAATCTATTGGGCATCTCAAACTTTCAGACTATGAAATTAGTATAAATGACTTACTTCCTGATTCCATGCATCTCAAATATACCAAAGCAGGTATTGCTATCTATCCAGGCATAAATTGTAATGGTTGGTGGATATGCGATGATTTAGTTAATCAAGTAGTTGAATATGCTATACCAATATTTGAACAAACACACCCCAACAAGATAGCTCTATTTATGTTTGATAATAGTAGCAATTATGGTTCATTTGCTGAAGATACCCTTTTGGTCTTACAAATGGGTATGAAAGATGGTACAAAAAAACTACTTCTTCGTGATGATACAATGCCTGATGGTTCCAAGCATATAATGATCTATATAGACAATGCTAATGTAGAAAGGCCTAAGGGAATTAAACAGGTTCTTGAAGAAAAAGGTTTGTAGATACCAGGCCTTATAAAAAAGTGTGATATATGTAAAAAAAATAAGCCTGATCCAAACAATCTAAACTATTGTGCTTCGTATATTCTTTTAGCTCAATCTGACTTTGCAGCTCAAAGATCATGCATATTAAATAAGTTTTTTTTTGTTAAAAAAAAAAAAAATTTAAAAACTATTACTTACATACATATAAATAATTTAGGTAATTGAAGATGCCAGACACATATGCATCTTTTACCCTAAGTTCCATTGTGAACTTAATTATATTAAGTTTGTTTGGGCTGAGGTAAAACGTTATGCAAGACTTTACTGTGATTATAGTTTTAAGAGCCTTAAAAAAACTGTTCCAATGGCATTAGATTTTGTTAGTTTATTAAAAATTCACAGCTTTGCTTGCTGTTCTGAACAATTTATAAATGCTTATGAACTTGGACTTTCTGGAAAGGCTGCTGACTTTGCAGTAAAGAAGTATTGTTCTTATCATCGAATTTCAGAACAAGTTCTTGAAGAATTCGCTTATGATTAAAAGTATATATGTATAAACTATATGTGTAAATAAAAGTTGTAAAGTAATACTTTAAAGTGTATATGTATTTCAATAAACTGTGATTTTAAAAG